GTAGTGTTCCCTCCTCTGAATGCCTAGAAGTTAACAAGAAGCAGCTAGAAGCAAAACTACCACAGCAAACGAAGCATCATTAGAACAAAGAATGTTCACACCATCCTTGAAGAAATGTCCCATTGTATAATCTGTGGGATACATTAAAATATTCTTTTTATGTAAAATATACAAAGAAATGAAGGCAGGCAGGTAGATAATACCATCAATGATTTCATGATTCAGGAATCTAGCTAAGGAGCAATCATGTCTTTCAAAGCACATGAAGATGCAAACAAAAAATTGAAAGGAGGGGCTGGAGAGATGGCTCAGCAGTTAAGAGCACTGACTGCTCTTGCAGAGGAGCTGGGTTCGATTCCAGCACCCACAAGGTAGCTAACAACCATCCATAACTCAGCTTCACAGGATGCGACCCTCTCTTCTGACCTCCATGATCATTGCACGACATGGGTACACCTACCTAAATGCAGGCAATACACGCATATACATAAAATAAAAATAATAAAATAAAATTTCAAAAAAAAAAAGACAAAAAGCAAGAGAGGGAGGCACTTCACATTGACTTCTGGTCTCCACATACGTAGCACTCACTGATACGTGCACCCATGTGTGTATCTTCCCTCTCCATCCCCCAAAACAAACCGCAAAGATTCAACAGTTTTTAGGTCAGAGAGCTATGACTCTTCTTGTGACTACTGATTTCCTTTCAGGCTGTAACTTAAGGGTCTTTGATGTTGTTCAATTCAATTGTTAAAGGTCTAGCAGGTAAGTCGGACGTGGTGGAGCATGCCTTTAATACCAGCACTTGGGAGGCAGAGGCAGGTGGCTCTATGTGAGTTTGAAGTGTCTGGTCTACATAGCAAATTCCAGGCCAGCTGGCTCTCTACGGAGACCCTGTCTCAGAAAAGACACACACACAAAAAAAACAAACCAAAAACCAAAAACCAAAAAACAACACACACACACACACACACACACAAAACCATATATATATATAGTAGATAATAGGAGTCCCCAAGCATTCAGTTTCTTGGGCCAGATCTCTACTGTAGATCCAAGGTTTCCTTTCTCATGCAGTGTAACATCCATATAGGCTGAAGGATAAGAGTAAATGTTTGCTCAACAGTGATACAAAGTGACTCCTGATACCTCCCTTCTACTTAATGATATAACAGGGGAGACAGAGCAGGGCAAACTGTTCCCCATGGATAGTTCAACGTGCTTAAAAAATAGTATAAGGAAGAGGAGGCACTTATCTCAAAAAAAAAGACTAATACAAAAGAATTTGACAAAACACTTCAGTTTTTAAAACCCTGTCTGCTCAGGCATCAAAAGCTAATGGAAACTTTCAGCAGATGCTCCAATTTTCCCAGAGCGTTTATGTAACTATCTCATTTTAGAGGCTGCATACATTTGGGGATAAGTACAGTAAAGCAGCTATAAAACAGATATGATAACATAAAACGCATCAAGAAACACCTGAAAAACCAGTGTGGGTCTACAAGCAAAACCATCGAGCAAGAAAAACTCACTAAAACAAAAGTCTGCAAAATAAAGGTACATAAACGTACACGGAGAGGTCACTAAAGCCAGCTTCTCAACTCTACAAAATTTTTTGAGTCTATTTCATATGTGTATTACACATCTAGTATGTATAATTACATATCTATTGTTTATATATTACATATGTCAAGTGAAATAAAAGTCATTTAAATAAAAGAGATGAAAATAACAAGTTGGCAAAGAATTCCAGTGACTCAAATCAGCCTACCGATCACAGCAATTCCAATACTATCCCAGGACTCAGAGAGCAATGCAAAGACAGCTTTAAAAATAGCCAAGGGGATAGAGACGGGTGGGACCCAGTTCCCAAACTCACATTACTCACAGGTAGAAAAGAACCTGGGAGGGTAATCAAACACATTAAGGAACTAAAAAGAATTAAGCACCAGCTTTTGAACAATGCAATACACAAGGTAAAATCGCCATAGGGGAAGTCTAGACAAAGCCTGAGACCCAAAGGCTCTTCTGTGCTGAGAGTAAATCTAGCAGGGTATCCACTGGATCCCAGTGCTGGGCAGTGTGGCTCTGCCTTATAGGCTCCCTGCTCCCTCCTGCCCATGGGACTCTCTGTCACAGGAGGGATTACATCACTAGGTTCCCTGTCCCCTGGCTGAGTACTGCTAATAGAGAGGCATGAGGATCAGAGGGACACACTAATGTCCTGGTATCTCCAGGTCACCTAGGACTGGCTATGCTCAACTCCCCAGACAGCTTCTCTGCAAGATTTCATTTCTGTTCTGGGACACATCCCTTCCCACGTTGCTCCTGCTACCTGCAAGTCCAATGCTTGGATTAACACTAGCTTGTAAACAGACCTTCCTTGAATTACTCTAATCGGAGTGGGTTGTTGCTTGCTTCCCTACTGTTAGTTCGTGCAAGGAAAAGAGACAAGAAAGCCTGCTGTACCAACACCACCTTTGTAGAAGTGGGTATAAGCATTCTCCATGAGGACATTAAGAAGGTAAAAATGACTGAATTGGGAGGTTCACTAAGACAGGGGACTAGAGGCATTGGATACAACACTAGATACAACATCAGATAAAAAAAAAAATCAAGTTGATACAAACAAGCCTCCCGGAGTAGAAATGTTCTATAACCTTTTCCACCGAGTCTCCCAAATTTTTCCTTGACAACAGTAATCCAGAGGCAAAGCTTGTAATTAATGTCTTTCCAAGAAAAGTAAACAATTCAGTTGTCTTTATTTTCTTATAATTTGCTATTTGGCTTATTTGTGCATCTAATTAGTTCCTTTTAGTTATAGCAGTATGGTTACAAGTAAAATGGAGCTGAACAATTCCTGTGGGCCTGAGAAAAGGCAGTAATTTTCTGTGCATCTATGAAGACAGCACAAGATGATATAATGAACCTTCTCTTTCAGACAAAGGATTTGTTATTTTCCAACTAGAACAAAACAAAATAAAACAACAATGAAAAAAAAAAGAACCCACCAAAAAATAGAAGTAATGGTCAATTAACTTCTCATTCTTCAGGATTTCCAAAATTCTAAAATACAAAACATTTCCTTTGCTTCAGACAAAAGAAGGTAGGGTCCCTCCCGCCTCTGAAGTGCCCTCAGTTAGCTGTGTGACCATATGCAAGTCACTGGCTTTCTGGGTTTCAGAGTCTTCTGATGTAAAATGTGAGGGTAAAGCTGGATAAACTTTTAGGTCCCCGAATTACAAACTACTAAGTTACCTAGAAGTTATGTATACTTTGTACCTGACTAATATCAGCTACAATTTATTTAAAATCTTCTTAGCTCAATGTAATTATTAATTGCCACTAAGAGAAATATTGAGAAAATGGAGTCATAGTCTAGAATTTCTTAGCTGGCACAAAGCCTGACAGAATATTCTAATTTGGCAGTTGCAATTAAGACATAAGGTCTAACTAACATTCACCAATATTCAGATTTACTTTAATTTATTGAGCACCTTTCATATGCCAAGGATGGTGCTGGAGACCTCAAAGAAGGAGGGCATCCTTGTCCTTGAGGTGCAAACACAGCAAGCAGGGCCTGAGATTTCCTGCAATATTCTGGTAGTACAGTCCCCGCTTTGGAGACCAAGCAGAGACTCACTAGTGTGTAGTATCTGGTTTAAGAACTGGAATCCATGGCAATCCTATTCTAAAACCACGCTGTGCCTGGCACACCAATTTCTTTTCCCTTTCCATTCTCATAACAAAAATGGACAAAGCATCCTCACTAAAGACTAACAGCGCCACATGCTACGCTGTATCAGTACACTAGAGCCTTAGAATTTCAGGCAAGCGAGGTGGTGTCACACAATTATATAAATGAGGTTTATGTGACTTACCCAAGGTTACATGGTTGTTAAGTGGCAGAGTCGGTGTGTTTCAAATCAATTCCTGAAATTAGTTAAGTCCCCTGGGTCAGTCTTCGCTGTCCAGCTGTGGTCTAGAACAAAAGCAAACAGTATCAAACATTTCTCTGTCTTGGCCAAACAAAATGTTAACTTATTTTGGCAGTGAAAAAATTTCCAATCCTTAAAGTCAAAAAGAAATTCAGAAGACTGTTCATGCAAGGTAATTATGTGAGGCAAATTTACATAATTTATTTAACAAAAGAATTTTTCGTTAAGTTAAAAATAATGGCTCTGGAAACTTCCAACAATTGTTTATCTTTTCTCTCAGATGTATGTAATTCACTCAGTAAACTATTGGTTCTACTGATATAATTTTCTAACCAATACGGAATAATAAATTATATACTGCTAGTTTAATCTTAACCCAAATTACAACCTTAAGGGGTGGTTATGCAAATTAATACAGCACAGTGGGCAGGAGTATGAAAAGATACTACAGTGTGGCTTGACCTATATACTTTCTAATGCAGTTTCCTGCCCCGGCCCTCCATTTCTGTGCTTCCGTTTCTTACTCTAGCTCAAATGATCAAAGTATGCTTATTCGTTTCACGTACAAAGAAACCAAAGCGATTATAGGTAAGTAAAATCAGTCCACTGCCTGGGCGTCCTCTGAAGTTAATTTTCAACGAGCGACCGTGATAAAGAAATAAAGGGTCAAGCTTTCTCTTTTAATCAATAAAATAATCCATACACTGAGTCACACAGGAGTACTGGGAAAGTACAAACTCAGAAAGGTGATAAATCCGGTAATAGCCTTGGCAAGAGCGATGGAAACTGATAGCAAACTACAGTCCCCCGCAGGAACCTAAAAAGGTCGCCTTGGGGCTGGGAGGGTTGCCTCGGCCTAATTAATCACGCAGGCCTCACACACATCCGGTTCTGTCCGGGTGCCCTAGGTGTGGAAAAGGTGGGCAAAGCTTTCCCCCACGATCTCAGTCCTCTCTGCTGAGATCGGTCCATCCCAGAGGACACGTAAGTGCGCACGGCCAGGGATGCTTTTTTATGCACCAGTTTTCCCTGCACCACGCAGTGGTTCTGAGCTGGGGCAATGGGGATTCGCAGTGTCAAGCTCCATCCTGGCTGGCCTAAGCCATTGCACGTATCCAGAGGGAAGCCCGAGGACCCGGCGAGTTGCTGCGCGAGGAGCGGCGGTCCCACCTCCCGGCAGGATCCGGCAGGCTCGGGGGGCTCCGCAGCTAGGCCGGGGGCGTGCGGGGTAGCCCGGGCCGCGCACTCCGGGCGTCAGCCGGCGAGGCCCGGACGAGCCGCACATGGCCGGCGGCGTTCCCGCCCAGGGGCGGCCCGGGGCGCGGTACCTGCGGTCGGGCGGCGGACTGCTGCTTCCGCGAGCCTCCTGGGGGCGGCCGGGACCCAGCCGTGCCCTCGCCCTCGTCCTCGCCCGCTTCTTCCCGGCTCTTTTCCCTCTCTTTCCCCCGCTTTGCCCCCTCCTCGGACACGGCTCCAAGATGGCGGCGCCGAGACGAATCACGTGAGCACCGGGCAGGTCAGGTGAGCATAGAGCCGCGCGGCGGGGGCGGGGCCCAGCAGGCCACGCCTACCTGCAGCCCAGGCCTGGGGCGCTAGGCGGATGGGAGTCTGCCATCCTAAACCAGTCTGGGCTGGTGTGGGTCTGGAAGAGAGTCCTTTCTGCCCATGATGGCCTCAGCCTACTCTGGGCTTTCTTCAGACCCTCATCCGTCCCATCTTTATTTTCCCACAATGACATCCCTGTGTGTGTGAATCTGGTTGGGCTATTAGAAAAAATTTATTACATTATTTTATTTTAAAATATTACTTTTATTTTAGATATATGAATGTATTGCCTGCATGTATGTAAGTGCACCACATATGTGTAATGCCCGAAGAGGCCAAAAGAGGGCGTCAGATCCTCTGGAACTGGAGTTACAGATAGTTGTTAGCTGCCATGTGGGTCCTGGGAACAGAAACTGGGTCCTCTGGAAGACACTGCTCTTAACTGCTGAGTTCCTAGTTTATTTTATTTTAATTAGTGGTGTGTGTGTGTGTATGTGTGTGCACGTGCGTGCCACAACTCGCAGAGGTCAGACAATAACTTGTGGGAAACTTCTCTCCTTCCACCATGTGGGACATCAGGCTTGGTGGCAAGTGCCTTTACTTGCTGCACCGTCTCACAGTTCTTGAAAAGATTTTCAGAGGTTGTAGGGTCTGATTTGCTTAGTTTTGACTGAGTAACCCTGAGGGAACCATGGTGTTTGTCATTTGGATCTGCTTTATGAAATAGATTCAGTAGTACACCCTGGTATAAGTAACCCCATTGGGTCCTGTGTTAGATCAATTCCCATCCAACTTTCCCAAGAACAGTGGGCAGTTTTTGATACTGAACAATACAGCCAGGTGCCTGGGTATAAACTGAACAGGTGGGGGGTAGACAGGAGGAAGGACGTTATAGAAGATTCTGATGATAGCACAGGATTGGACTGGTTTCATGAGATGTCTTTTGGCTGTTTCTGGATGTATTTAGAGGTCTTTGCAAGAAGTTTGGGTTGTCAGTTATGAAATAAGAGGAAGACTCCAAATATAGAAAACAAAATGTGTTCTCAGTGTTCAGATAAATCTGCAATTTTACTGACTGTATCTCAGGGTGAAAACTCACTAGCCTGTGGGTGTCAGGAAACCAACAAAGTTCCAATTCTGTCTACTCTTCCACAAAATCCTTTACCACTTGGGCCAAGTAGCTAAGTAGAAGCAACAAAGGGAAAAATGTTCCTCCCCTCTCCTTCCCTCCCCTCCAGTTACTGACACAAACAACTCTAGTTTGTAAACTAATTGAAGACCAGATGACTTCATCCTAATACTCATGAACCTTAAAGTTGACACAAGAGAAATCAGATTACTAGGTCAAGGGAGCAAACAAAGACACAATAAAGAAATGGACTGTGGCTACCACTCAGAGGTATAGCACTTGCCTAGTACACACAGGCCCTGGGGCACCTCCCCTCATACCCACAAACAAAGAAAATATAATCTAGGCAATGTAAGGGAGTTGTAAAGGTACCTGCCTGAAGTTCCCGTGTTCACTAGCTATGCCTTTGTCTCTCTTAGAGCAGTTAGATCAAACTTCCTGACCTCCTACTCAAACTTCCTGACCTCCTACTCAAACTTCCTGACCTCCTCTGGGGCTTGTGAATGTGGTCTGTGACTGATGCCGGCTAATGAGTTCTGTGCAGAGCAATTCACCTCTGTATCTCCACTTTTAAGGGCCAGTGCAATGCCTTCTAGTATACATTTTTCCTTCTGGTTTGATGACTGGCAAATTTTGAGATAGCAGCCACCCTGTTAGCTTCCATCACAGAGTGACAGTGGAGAGCTGAGCTTGGAGATGACTCATTATAGACATGAGGGAGCGTAAGCCACTCGGGTCTGGGAGTTGTTTGTTACTGTAGCATAGTGTAGCTGCTACCAACATTCCTTTCTACGTGGAACTGATGGAAGGTGCAGAGGAATAAACCATTCCAGGCAGAAAAGAATGTGAATAAAAGTATTAGGGGTTAGTTAACACTAATACATGTACCTTCTGGGAAAAAATAATTAGGAGAAATGGTACAAAATGTAGAATCTGTTAGAAAGACTCAGACAACTTCAAAAAGCCTGTGACATAAAAAGAAACAGTGAATATGTACATATGCATATATATATATATATATATATATATAATCTCCCAGTGCTGGGGCTGGAATCTAGGGCTTCATGAGTGCTAGGCAAGTGTTCTGCCACTAGCTATATCTCCAGACCTTTAAGTTTCTATTTTGAGATAGGTGCTCATGAACTTGCCCAGACTAGCCTTGAACTCATTTCTGTAGCCCAGGCTGAACTTGGTTTCTCCATCCTCCTGCCTCTGCGTCCTTAGTACCTGGGATGACATGCCTGCATTACCAGCCCCTACTTAGTATTTCTTTTTCTATAAAAGAACCCTCCAGAAAGATCACACTAGATCCTTTTTTTTTTTTAAGTCAGAGGAATGCAAAGACGCAAGCTTTATTCTGTTGAACTTTTGGACATTTCCGTGAACTCCACTCAGCACTTTGCACCTGCCACAGAATGCTATTTATCATGATTTAATTAACCAATCATAGTAAGATTTGGTGTTCCAGATAGGAAACCTGCTTGCTCAGTTATCTAGCACCTGTTCAATGGACTCTGATTGTGTTCTCAGATGAGAGATGACCTAGATAACCGAATCCCTGTCTCCACTCTCCTCATTACTCTGCTCTGGGGTCCTTAATTAGTTGATAAGGTTAAAGGTTTCACTTTTTCCATAGGTATCATGGGCCTGTATCTCCTAACGTGGCCACGGAGTCTGATAACACAGAGTGCTTTATAACTTAGACCAGCACAGTTTAAATTTGGGGAGCGCAGAAGACAATGTGGTAAGTTACAAGGTGATAACTGGCCATAAACTGAATGAGATTCCAAAGTAGTTGCAACCTAGAAAGTTTCCTTTCTAGGTCTGTGAGATGGCGCAAAGGCATTTGCTACCAAGCCTGATGACCTGAGTTCAATCCCTGGGACCCCATGGTGGAAGGCAAGAGACCAGACTCCTGCAAATTGTCCTCTGACCTACACATAAATGAATAAATAAATAAATAAATAAATTAATTAAATATAAATAAATGAAAGC